AAACATCAGCTGATACTAGAAAGTAATATTAAATAAATTCTAACAACAGCTGATCAAGCTTAAACGTGCTGCTGTTGTTTAGCACGACATCCGCTGGTTTCACACATTGGCCAGCATCTGGCCAGTCCACCACCTCTCATTGTTCATGCCGTTACAAAAATTTATCCAAAAAAAAAAAAAAGACATTGGCCCATGAAAACGAAAAATCACCATCGGGCATACCGGGCGGCCAGTCCAGCTATGCTATAGCCCAAAAAGGTCCAAAAAGGTTGAGCAATTATGATAAAATGCACATGGTAAAATCTACTATGCAGAGCTCACTTTTCTGTCTCAAGACAGCAGTGCTTTGTAAGTGTTTTATTATACCGTGATACACCAAAAATGAAGCTCATCTTCTCTTCTTTCCAAAAGCATTCAAATTTTTTCTCTAGCACAAATTATCTCATAAACTCAGAACAAGCATTAAATCTAAGCACTTCTTTAAATGCTTAGAAGTTGGGGTTAAAATTAGTTGTACAATGGGTGGGAAGAGTCATGTATGACAGTGCTGACTATGGAAAAAAGTGAAGTTAAAAAAAGTAGAGGATGTTTGGCTATATTCTGCAAATACTTTATTAGATTTTTTAATTATATAATATATGCACTTTACTATATGTTCAGTATACATTGCTTATTTACTTGAAGTGAGTGGAATGTTGAATAAGAATTGAAACAATAATCTTGAAGTGAACAGTGTATTTTTTATTTTTTGTTTTTTTTTGTTCTCTGAATGGAAAACAAACACCCAGTGGCTAAGGAGTACTATTCAGTGGCTTTAATAAACAGGGACATTTTAATAGTTACAAGTAGTTTTTTTCACTGGATCAGAATTATATCAGAAAAAAACGTGTCTACTTCTTGTCTTAAACGTGGCTCTCACTGGAGATCTGACAGCCAAATCAAACTCATTCTTGAATGCAAGTTAAGGCAATGAAAACCACTTCATTCGTATAATAAAACAGATGTGAGTGACTAGCATATGTTTGAATAAGACACCCTGGTACCTGCCGAGTGAAGAACATCATGTGAGAATAGAAAGGTGTGTCTTCTCTGACACTCACTGGCATGTAGCTGACAGACAAGAGGTGCCGCAATGAAGACAAACTGATGAACTGAAAGAGAACATTTTTAGGGAATTAACATTTACTCTTGTTACTGTGAGCACAATCAAACCTTTTACAAGTGAAAAAGTATGTGTTTCACGACCATTATGCAACATGTAGAAAAGTTGTCTTTTTTAACCGCTTTCATCCACCCCTTATGTGTTTTACAAAAAAAGCTATCTGTGTGGAGACAGACTTGCTACATATCCTGAAATGTTGTAGACCCTTGTAAACTCATTTATAGAGGATAGCCAACTCCCCCCTAGTCTAGTCAAGAGTATGTACCACAAATTTGTTTGACCTATCCTAAACTTCGTGTGAGCTGTCCTGCCAATCACAGGTAACCAACGGTATTACCCATGGTTATGCTGAGCCGAGCATAGCTCTCGAGTATGAAGACCAGCTGAACTTGTCAGTGTCTAAAAGCAGCTATTATCAATGTAATCTTTTAATTTTACAATAAAATGTTCATTGTAGCATCAACAAAAGTGTAGATAAATAAAGGTAAACAATAAGCAGTGTCTGTATCATATGAATACAATCCTAACAATATATATCCCTAATTATGGGCATAAATATTTAACTTTAAGGCACAAATCTGACCCAAGGAGCAGGGCTTGTTGATTTTTTTAATTTAGCTTTTTTGTTTCTTTCCTACAGTTCCAGTCGCTAGGCATGCATCAACAAGAAACCTACAGGAGCCATGGCATGGGAAGCATGGTAAGTCATAATGGCTGTAATAAAAACAACTTTTCCTTCTTAACCGTTTACCTTACCCGATTTATTTTCTAGAAATGCTATACTAGGCACTGGTAAACTCTATGATGAATAGCCATGCTACCGCTTTAGATCCACAAGAGGGTGCTGGAACCCTTATGTTAAAAAATACTGCCTTACCTTTTTTTGGATACAATATTTAACTCATGCTAGCTTGTTAGCTTTTACACATATACAAATACTACTAAAAGTAGTTTAAAGAAAGTGAAACGTTAGTGAGGATGTTTGATTACAAGTATTATTATTCTATACTGCCAATATTAAATATAATATTAAAATACAACATTTATAAATATACTCACAGATTTACTCTTATGTTAACAAACACACATGATGGCAGCTTTGATTCATTTTATGATATGTTCAGTATTTAATTACTCAATTACTAAAGTAGGTAGATGCTGAAGCAGTTAAAAAAATAATTTTGTGTGAAAAGATCTCTAAAATATTATGCTACAGTGTAGAATGCATTAAGAAAAAGATAGATATACACAGATTTTCAGAGTAAATTTAAGTCTGCAGTGAACAATGTGTTTTGTATTTTTTAGAGGATGAACTCTACGTGGAAATCAAACAGAACGAACACCTATCGGGTAAGGAGGCTTCATATTTTACAAAACATTGAAAATCAGTGATTATGTTAACAAAGCACTATGAAAATTATGCATTTGCATTATATGATGCAATAAAAGCTGACAACCCTGTTCTCTGTAAGCAGGCCGGCTCATCAATTTACCAACGTTCTTTAAGCCTTCGATCGGCTGACCGCATTGAAGACCATATCAACAGGGTAAGAGGTTTATTTCACACAAAGCAT